GTTTCTTCGAGTAAATTTTCCAGGCAGCAAAAATATCACAACAGTTTAGGTACATTGTCACCTCTGAGCAACAGGTAAGAGTGACAGTATGTGGTGATGCAGAGCAAGATAGATGTGACATCGCCGGCATGTCCGAATGGGGGCATGAGGTGACGTAACAATCATGGGAGGTAGTCTTTGTAGGTGGGGGGTAAATAAATTCCTGTTCTCGGAGGATGCATCTTAGGGTGTGGGGTGCAGGAGCGTGTGCTAACGGCTCACAGAGGCACGCGGGGGTCACGATGCCCCCCCAGCTCTCAGCCCCCGTCACCATCATAGTTGTTATCTTACGTCCTGCCTGTAATTTGAATTAGCGGCCTTTCTTAGGGCCCCTAATCGGACTGCCATTTACGCACTCTGAGCACGGCTACGTTCTGCTTCCTCGGGTTATTTTTGGCTGCGTGTGTTTTTTATTTGTAAGTAGCATGCAGGGTAATTAAAATAAACTGTTTACGTCGTGTTTATAAAGCACAAGGACAAAACGCACCACGAGAGGGACGGCAGTCACCAGTGATGTGGAGTGGCAGCCATTAAGCACAAAGGAGCTGGGATCCAGAGCGCTGGCTTGGCACATGTGCTGACATTTCTGTTGCAGCCCTTGGCTTCGATAATTTGCAGAGTCCAAATGGGTGTTTACTTTTATTCTCTTGGACGAAATCGCACATTGAGCACCCAGACATTACCGAGCACATTACAACAATGCGGAAACTGCAAGATATATAAAACAAATGCATTCATTTACATGAAAAAAAGGGGTTAATTACAGACAAATATTCACATTGAGGCAAAGCAAAACAATAGATAAAGTTTCCAGGCCCTTCTAACTGATGTTTGCTTAAAATGTTGGCAAACAAGGGCACAAAATATGTACAATTACCTACACAGTGAGATTTAAATAATCTTAACATTATCAAGCTGACAAAAAACTACAATATAGAGAAAAGTAGAATGTTTATCCACAAGACACAAACCTTTCTCCACACACTCAATCCGCTTGTTTTTTACAGCTTTGCTCTGACCGATCTATGGAATCTCAGTTGTGACAAAAAACATGCAAGCTCAAATGTAACATCATGGGGTAACAGTTCCTGTTAGATGGCCAGGCTCGCTGTCTGAACACAGAGATCACTTTTGGCTCCCCGAACCGCTGTACATTTCGATGAGAGGCTCTTTGCAGAAGGTGACAGGTTAACACACGCTTGACGATCCCCCCAGTCGCTCTCGAGGCAGTGATGAGGTGCAGGTCACCAGGGCACTGTGGGGATTCACTGGCATACACAAGCAGCAGTGACAACAATTACCATTGTTTTTTTCTCTTGTTCCTGGTATTTCATGATGAATGTGGGACACATAGTTCAACATAGGACGTAATTATTACAGCAGTTTGAGGGAGGGCGGCGGTCTCTGATGGGGCAGATGGGTTATGGAATTCTGTGTATGGGGGGTGGGGGGGTCGAGCTGGATTCCTCAGTCTCCAGTGTTAATGGTTCATGAACAGTTTCACAATCGCTGGGAAAATCTGAACGTGATGTTCAGTTCTCCAGTTGATAGCTCTGCTGAGGCATTCACTTCCTCATTAAACGGCAGCGTTTCAGCCGCGCTGACAGACCTGCGCTCCGAGTCTGGACCTGCGGATATATCTCAGCGCAGTCCGTCTGAATCTGCCTGCACCCTCACAATAAGTGCTTACAAAGACTGTAGAACATTAACATGAAACTTTGGCTTGAATTAAACCCTTTGATGGAGGACCCGGGCCCAAGCTGAGTCCAGATTCCTGAAACGGCGGTTTCCCTCACTTTCGGCGGCCCACGTTTATGACGAGTAATCCTGCCGTCGGAGGATGGCCTACTACAGCCCGGAGGAAGGCCTACTACAGCCCGATATGCAGAGTTGTGTGTTTCGTTGCTTCGATGGCTGAAACAACAGCTCGAATCAAAGGCGGACAGACAACCCTAAAAGCAGAGCAGCCCGATTCTGAACCCAAGTCCGAGCTCAAACCTGGGCCTGCAGCCACGATGGTGAATTGATTACATTCAATGTTACAGCAGCTCCTTCGGTGCAGGATCTGAAGATTTCTGGACACGGATTTGTATAAGTGGAGGGATGTCATGAAGGTTTTTTCTCCCCTTCTTTTTCTTGCCAAGCTTTTTTCTTGGAAAGGAGGGAGAGCTGGCTTCCACATAGACCTCAGATCTCCACCTGACATTCTGTAGACAGAAGTGCTGACTGATCAGTGTTTTAATTGACTTCCAGGTTTAAAGATCAGTAGGATCCTCCCGGCTGCCAGAAGCCTCCAATGAGTAGAGAAGATCTGAGGGATGAAGTCGGGCACTGTCCCTGGGCCTCGTGTTGGAGAGGCGTTGGGGGGCCGGCGGGCTCCGAGCCGGAGGAGGCATCACGAGCTTTGATCGCAAACCGCATCCATTCGGAAATAAACAAATTGCACTCAAACTTGCCGATCAGCACAATCATGGTGTTTCCCGCAGCTTGACAAGCTGGCAGAAGCTGTTTCTTGTAATTATACAACTGACAGTTTTGAGAGTTTTCACACTGCTGCTGTTTGCCTCTTCGGAAATGATTCGATATCGGCAGGAGAATGTAAAAATCTGCAAGGCACATGGTGAAAGTGAACGTTAATCTGAAAGGCGTCCAGCGGGCCAACGTCGCACGCGAAACCCTCGGTAAAACGACTCTGGCGGCGCTGTTTACGAGTAGCGTTACAGTGAGTAGTAAATCTCTTGTCAATAAAACTCGGCTACATCAAGTGTGCAGCCAAACAAACAGCTCATCCCCGCTTCCTGTGTGGGCCCCTTTCTCCGTGTCCTTGTGCAGCGTCTGGTTATCGGGCCGCACGCAAGCACTAGTGTTCCACTGGCAGGTCATTAGCTCCCAAATCCAGGTCACAGCTTGAGGATCCTGCCCAGTTAGGCCCGGGGGGGGTAAGCAGGAAGTGGGTGAAGAAAGAGCTTGTGAGTCACACTTAGCCCCCTTTTGGCTGTCACCTGACGGGCGTGTCTGACCTGAGGACAAAAACACGCAACAGCCAATCAGTCACATGGTCAGCAGGTGGAAGCCACGCCCCACCCCCTGTGCTGCCCACATGTCCCCTCCCTCGCTGCATGCCCGTACATGGGGGCTTGCGCTCCCAGACGTGGACAGGGCCACGGGAGATGGTGCCGAATCCATAACATGCAGAGAGACTTCAGTCACGGCAGCTCGTGTCAGATTCAAACCAAACCACAACGTGCCATGTAGGTGAACCTGACCAGCTGTCCCAACTCTGGTGCATAACCTGTCCTAGTTAAACTGAAGTGGAACTACACAAGGGAGGGGTGTGGGTTCATGAGTGACACCCCCCCCCTCCCCCGCTGCTGTGATGTAACATTTATCTGGCTGCATTTGATACAAAAATGATCCGTACGGGTGTTTCAATCACCCGGTTTGAGAACCTCACATGCCCCCTTGTGTATTAAGGTCCCTCTGCCCATTTTTTTTAAATTAAACATCATACATCTGTAAGGCAAGGCTCTTTTTTTTTACCCCAAGCTAAGTTCGGAGATTCGGCGTCTCACTGCATGTGCTGAATACCGAAGGGAGGGGCAGTTGTTTACGCTCACGTGTTTCCTGTCTGGGCGGAACGGCGTCTTGTGAGGGGGAGCCAAAACGTGACACAGGAGTGTGATTCACCGATAATTTAACACGACAAATTGGCAAAATAATTCACTCATCCCGGGCACCGTGAGCGAGAGCTTCTAAACGCTTTACATGCGTCAGGCCCGTGCGGCTGCAGAATCTGTTCCCCGCAAATTGGACAAATTGGATTGATAACGGTTGGTACAGTACGCGATTTCCCACCGCGATATTACACTGGCGTATTTTTCATGTCCTCCGTAATTGATTCCTAACGTCTTACAGTAATGCATTAGGCTTGACGCGTGTCCGCATTCGATGCGACTGCAATGCAAATCGTCTCATGTTTATGTGGGCCGAGCAGCTTGGTGAACACGGTGAAATCACATTTCACCGTGCGATGATCTGTTTCAGCTGCGGAGACAAAGAGCAAAACAGAAGTCAGTCTTCATCTGTGGCCCTTCACTCATCTAGTCCTGCTTCTTGACTGGGGTCAAGAGTTCAGCGGGAAAATTGTTTTTATGGCTTTTTTAATATGATTATTGTTTGTGCATGTAGAATTGTCCTCATACAGCCTTGTGCTATATGAATTTTTGGAACAATATTAATAGGGCTGCCAGCGCAATGCGGTGGATGAGAGTTAAGCCCTGATCATTGGCGTTATAAAAATGTATAAAACAAAGGAGAAATAACATCTATTATATGCAAAACGCAGGGCTCAAGGGCTCTGTGAGCATCGTTATATTGTCATTTCAGAGACATTTTTAATAACCTTGTTTTTTTAAACGCATCTGGAAATGTGGTTACGTTTGATGTGTTTCACAAAGGGGCATTTTACGCCTGATAAGAAACACATGCCTTCCTCTCTACATGTAAATGTCGGCTGTGCCACAGCTTGGACTGGGAAACGTCCCCCACCCCCCCGCCGCCAACCCGCCAACCCCACAGCGGGACTATTAACCGGAGAGTTCTGACTGGTGTGGAGGTGAGTCAATTTTGGGGGTTGCCCATGTTTTGTCAGGAGGGGGTTTCGTGTCGGGGTCAAAGCTGGGGTGGCGTTTGCTGAACGAGGACACAGACTGATGGTGTTTAACGTCATTAGGGGGCCTGAACCCTAGCCGTGTTGGGTAAACACCTCCTATGGTGCATTGGGGTCAGACGAGTGCAGGGTCTCCGGTGAAGGAGGGGCTGTCAGCTGAGGCATGTGTGAGGGTGGTATGCTTGTGGGTGGGGGTCGGGGGGGCACCATCCTCTCAGCTCCCTCAAGCCTCCCCAGCTGTGATCAAGAGATGCAGCCTAGTTCTTCTGCATTTCCACAGATGAAAATTGGCTCTGTTGCAGGCCGAGATGACAGCCACGCAGGTCACATGACTCCATGCCGGTAAAGGCCACGTATGGCCAGCAGGATAACAGAATGCATGCAGTATTTCATCATACTAATGGAGGCGACTGCAGATCAGTGGTCCCCAAGACCGGAAAGCCACTCAGTTTATTTTTGTATTTGATGCTGGCCAACAGCAGAGGCCTGCACTATGGCCCACAGCAGAGGCCTGCACTATGGCCCACAGCAGAGGCCTGCACTACGGCCAACAGCAGAGGCCTGCTCTGTGCTGGGACGGTGATGCTGACCCGCAGCGGAAGTCTGCACTGTGCTGGGAAGGTGATGCCGACCTGCAGCGGAGGCCTGCTCTGTGCTGGGAAGTTGATGCCGACCCACAGAGGAGGCCTGCTCTGTGCTAGGAAGGTGATGCCAGCCTGCAGCGGAGGCCTGCTAGGCTCTGTGATTGAAGGTGGAAAGAAGTAAATATGCTGATATTTAGTGTCAGCTACCACTTCCAAATCTGGCCTTTGAGAGCTGATGTTCCTTTAATATTTACATAGTGCTTTATATTCAGAAGATAATGATAATAATTATTATTATTGTTATTGTTGTTGTAATTATTTCATATTGCTAATCACTGTTAGCTACAGTGAGATACAGTACGATGAAAAAGGATAGCAAAGAAAAAAATTAAAGCTGTTTAACTATACAAGTGTTTATTTGCTCAGACAAAAACACAGTTTAACACTAGAATAAATCTAAATGAATAGCGACACAACAAAAAGTAACAGGAATGTCTTTGGTTTTCCAAAAGGTTACTGATATCTATTTGGATGACTAGATGAACAGCGCTTCAGTTCCCAAACCTGTCCTCAGGGGCACCTCAGCCACGCCATGTGTTAAATTTCACCACCAGCTCTTAATTAGGTATTGATTAGCCGCACGCGATGTACTGTGGTGGAGTTCAACAAACACATGGGTATGCTGGAGGTGTCTGAAGGTTTTGAAATGGAGAAGCTGTCAACTTTTGACGTTTTGACCTAAAGTCATAGCTTTACACCAACATTAAGATAAAGGTAATATGATTTCCTTTGGCGGACTCAGTAATTTGCACATTACTGCGTGTTTGCGATACTGAAGACAAAGGGATCCAGGAATCTGCCGGTAAGTGTGTAGCTCTGACATCCTCAGCGATCGTCAGCTTCAAATCACGTCTGTACAGCTGAGATGATACTTTAGTGATACTCTGCCCCTAGTAAGACCCACGTTTGCCCGACAAACAGAACATGTGGCCTAACGGAGCATGCAGCCTGTTACCCGCGTACGCTCACACTCCGCATGCGTGTTTCTACCACCAGGGGACGTCTTGGTGGCGAGTGGATTACACAGGAACACCTGTAACCGGGTAGCTACAGACTGAGGTTTGCGTAGAGAGTCAGATGAAGCCATTTACTAAGCGACAGGATGCTGATTTTAGCCTTTTCCTGTACGGATGAGCAATCTCTCTTCTTTAAAGACACTCCCTTCTCATTAACGTGGTCATTTACACGGACTGGTAAAATATTTACCACCTTTAAATGTTTGTGTGTGCCTCCACGCGTCGCACAATCGTAAATATTGGGACGGCAAGCTCAGCTAACGTGTCCCCCACCTCACGGACGTCTGCTATCCACCCAGAAATGTGTGTAACGGGAACAATAAAAGCGAGCAGGAGCCGGGGGGGGGTGGGGCTCTCGGAAGTGGCGTGCTGTTAATGGCTTATTAATTGCTCATTACGGACTGTCATTCCTTGATGTAATTGCTTAATTTTCTTCACAGATAGTCAATTTGTCCTCAGTCTGCTGCTGCCATGGCTCTCGTTCTCTGTGTTCTTTACGGTCTGGGAACACCCTGACTGAGTGTGAGCGTCCGTTTTTTGGGGGAAATCGGATCCAATGGAACGGCGTCTTCGGTCTGACAAAACGCCAAGCTGACAGGCTAATCAGATGGAGTAATTGTTCATGTGTGGCACATCTGTGGCGGACGTTAACCCTTGTGGTGGCGTGGCAGAGCGGGCTCTGCTTAATGGAGACGCACTTCCTCCTCCAGTGCGTCCGAATCGTGTGTCTGAATGCTCTGTCGGCCAGCTGGACCCGGGTCTAGCGGCACAACGGAGCCGCCTGCTGAGGCTGCGTCCCGTCGCCGTGCCGACAGCGCCACACGCGCATGCAAATGCACGCACACACAGAGAAAGGGTAACACTCTCCCCCGCCCCCCCATCCCACCCCAACGAATGATTAACGGCGTCTGATTCTTCCTAGTGTTTGCTCTTGTTAATTAAACTGTGCGTCGCAGGGCCCCCCCCGGGGGGAGTGAGGAGGGGCGAGTGGCGAGGGGGAGTCAATGAAAAATCATTCTGCTGGGCAGAAGCGTCTCAATTTCGACGGCTCCGGAAGGCGGGGCAGCGCAGGCAGGTGGCCGATTCGCACGGTGGCCGATTCGCACGGTGGCCGGCGTGGGTGATGCTCAGGCAAGGACGGATTTCACAAATCTTCAGATGTGAGGCTTTGTGTCACGGCTGCCACTTTTCCGGGGTGGGGGGGTTTAGCCTCCCCTCATTTGCATCCTTCAAGGCAGGAGCTTAAGGTCAAGGCAGCTTTAGGAGGGGGGGTTAATCCCCCTGTTTTTGATAGCTGGGGCTCCTGGGCCGCTCTCCATTCGTTCATCACGTTCCCAGAACCAGGAACAGTGTCCGGACTTGCAAAAGACCCGCCCCAGCATCTTCGCTCTGTCCTGAAATCCTACAGTGCCCCCCCCCAAATGACAAGCTTGCGAGTTGGGGACCTGTCCATCAGGGACGTAACCAGAGCTGGGTGAGGGGGACTTTCACCCCCGCGGGACACGCAGCGGCGCGGCGGATGCATTTTTTGTGGAATGTTCCTGGATAATTAGAATCATATGTGCGATTTGAAGTGAAACGTGTAAAAATGTTGTTTCATGGGTGAGGTCGGAATTTGGTAAACAACTACTTTTACCATCAGGATTGTAGACGCTTGTTAAGAGATAATTAAAAGCGAGGGGTACATTTATATTCATGATCTATTTACGTGTCCTGTGAGACGTGACATGGTGGGACGTGCCCTGTCCAGCCGGGGGCCCACACACAGAGGTAGGCCTGCATGGAAAGACGGCGGCTCATAACCGTGCCCTGTCCAGCCGGGGGCCCACACTCAGAGGTAGGCCTGCATGGAAAGACGGCGGCTCATAACCGTGCCCTGTCCAGCCGGGGGCCCCACACGCAGAGGTAGGCCTGCACGGAAAGATGGTGGCTCATAACCCCAGTGTGTCTGTCAGAAAGGAGGGTGTCTGCTGGATACTTGTGTTAAGGCTTTAGGGGGGGTGATGGCAGCCCCCGCAGGCGCCCCGCCCCCCCCCAGCCAAAACGAGTGACCCATTCCTTGAGCCTGACATCCATCTTCAGGACGGGTCATGCGTGCCCAACGGAAAGTGCCCCTCAGCCACATTTTATGAAGCCTGAAATGTAATCCAATAATGATTTGACTTGTAAGTGCTTCTAGCTAGTCAGCAGAGAGCTCTGACACGTGTTCTGCTACTCCTTAGAACTCTCGACAAAAAAACAGCTAAAGTCCATTTTCTTCTCTAATTTCGCTGTGAATAATCTGCTTTTTTTCCGCCTGTGCTCGGTTCTGCTCTGTTTGGTGCGTAAGTGCTATTTTAAAAGTGCTTGTTCTCTATTTTGTTGTTTATTTTATTATTTTTTGCCCTATTACTGCTGCAAAAAACTATTTTAAATTAATCATTACTTTTTTTCTTTTTTTTTTTTTAGAAAGCGGCCTGGCTATTTTCGTTCTCTCCCGGAGAGAAAGGCCAGATCCAAGAACATGGATAACACACAGCTAATTAGCGAGGAACTAGTTAAGAGACAGCCTTGGCAGAACACCCCCCCTACCCTCGATACCAGAGTTACTGCCTGGCTGAGATCTGGGTGACCACTCTTTGACCTTTGACTATTACTCTGAGGATATGGTTTCATGTTTTCGATGTTTCATTAACACAAATGACTCCCCTTCTATAGTCATATTGGAATAGATTTTGAAATTATGTACAGTAATTGGTATTCATTTCAATTTTACATTTCCACATCCAGGCGCTGCAATCAATTGCTCGGAGTACAAAAGGCAAAATATGTATTTGGTTTTACGTTTGTGGTTTTGTTGTGCTGTGGTAATTCAGCTCATGAGAGACATAAACTTCCCAGAGTCTGACTGAAGAAAAGCGAAGACAGTCTCGGATGGCCAGACGAGAGAGACATTTAAAGTGATAACTAATTAAACCAGATTTGTAGTTCAAAGAACTGCAGCTTTTTTAAGGCCTCCAAGTAACTGCTTGTGAACAACACATCATTCTGTTTTTACATTTTTTCACATTTATGTTTTTTCATTGATCACACACGGGCTGTATTTATTAAATTCTGCTTATCAGTGTCCATCACTGTTATGCATGGTTCCCAAATTCAGATGTATGCGGAGTCTCAATGCAAATGCAGATGCGTTCCCAGTTTCTGGCAAATCTCCGGGGGGTAAATGGCACAAAGAGCCCATAAACCCCCACAGTCACGCCTGCAGGAGCGCCGCAGCACAGCAGATGAGGGGGGGTTGGTGTGACGCACGGCTACGTGGATCACGCGCCTGTGTTTCTGTGGAGGGGCTTGGAGGCGAAAGACGGCCCTGTTGTGTCAGGGAGGTAAGAGGCAGTCTGTGTGGCAGACACAAGGCTGCAAAAGCTTTGTGTCATCTGATCAGCAAGATGTTGCCATTTAGTCAGGAAGGACGTGTCTGTGCCCCTGTATTTCTGTGTTTATGCATCCGGATCAGTAACAGGTAAAGGACGGCCCCAGCCGCATCCGAATCCACAAAAACCCTCGATGAAGGTCCAAAGGAATGTGGTTATGTTGGCTCCTCCATCCAGCACCCGTCACCACAAGCCCCATGTCGCCCGATAAAGCGCGCTGGCTCAGAGCCGCGATTGATCCATGCGGGACCCATGGCTGTGATGAGTAATTGGCTGATTGTGTTTCCCTGGGACGCTGGCGCCCCCGTCGGTGGCTTCGCTAAGGGCCCGGGTGCGCAGCACCTATGTAATGCCCGAATCTTTATTCATTTCATGATCGCAGAGTCCACGCAGCCCCCCCATGCAAATCCGTCCGGTCGACTCATTTGGGTGAAATGGTGGAAATTGATGTAGCCTCACAGAAGGTTGGTGGGTCGAGGCTGGCCCAGTGCCGGGAGCACGGTTCTCAGATAAACCTTTCCGTTATTGGCAGACGGGATGCGCTTGAGCGAGTGTCGGAGGCCGAGGTCACAGGCAGCTGCCGGTTCCGTTTGTCCCGCTTGCTGATTTCGTGCTGCTGTGCTCGAAGCACCTCCGGCAGCGTAGAAGACGCCTGATTCCAATCGCCGATGAATAACTTTGAAAGGCAACAGAATACAGTATCTCTATTTTACAGAAGTTTTACAGCGGCGTAAGAGGGAAATGTTATTTCCACAGGTAGGGACCTTTACGCACCTTTATTTATATGCATCTATTTATGTATTTTCATATGCTAACATATTTATAAATTGCATATTTATAATTTTATTTATTGTTTTTAGTGCTTTTTTATTGATTTGGGGGGGGGGGGGGCGTTTCCATCTCCTCCTGTCCAAGGCCCCAGCAGAGTCCTTCATTACCGTCGACACTCAGGAATCCGGCACTTAGTGGCCATCGGAACCGCCCCTGTAACAGACAGGACGTCACGGCCACCCGTGTTAGCCTTGGCGCTAATGCTAACGGAAGCCGTCGGATGGTTGATGTTCACCCCGAAAGATAATGCTCCACAATGATAGCGCTTTTAATTTCTATATTGTGGAATCATTTTAAAATGCTTTGGCGAGATGTACATCTAGATAAGCAACGACAGTAATAATCACAATAATAATCAGGCCGTAATGCATTAGTGGGCTCACCGGTGGTTAAAGTGAAGAGCCCTCACCCATTACGGCCCGAGTACTTCACTTAATGCAACCTCTCGCTCGCTGCCATTTCATCTGGCCATATTTGTTGATGTTGTTTTTCACAAACGCGCCTGGAAATGGGGCCATTATGAATGAGTTATGGTAATGCGCTGGGGCACCGCATGCATTAATTTCATTAGCAAGTGGCCTCAAAGCAATAATTACCAGAGTAGGTGTGTCGCGGGCAATCATGTTAAAAATTGCCAGTTAATTATTAAGATTTTGTTGCGAGGGAGCCAGGGTTTGACATGAGAGTCGCCTTGAAGAAAAGTTGGAGAGGCAGATGCCAGGAAGGTCGCAACACTTGCGCCACGGCGCTGGGGGGCGGGCGGGGGAGGGGGGCGGTACCGTAGATTTGGTGCGTTGACAGCTTGCACTCCCGACTAATTACCGAAAACGGCAGCGATCTGAATGGGGGTTGTTTAATCCCCCAGATTGGTGAATGTGGAGAAGGGGAGGCATCAGCGGGCTTGGAAGCATGGGGGGGCGGGTGGTGGTGTTCTGCTCTTGCAGGGGTGAGTTCCCCTGTGACGGGATAAAGGCGCTTATTTGCAGATTAAGTGGCCGTTAGACCAGGACTAAACCCCCTCAGAGAGACTGTCCAGCATCCACCCCCCCGAAAGAGCTGCTCTAATCGCCGACACGTTGGGTTTTTAAGCTCGCAGTTGTGTCGCTCGTCACCAGCAGGGTGTGCGTTGCATGTGCGTGAATCAAACAACACAATGGAAAAGCACCCAGGAGCTGAAAAAGGCAGCCGCTGCTGTAACTGTCAGGCCAGGCCGTGGTGGGAGTCTCAATGGGGGGGGGGGGACGGGACATGAGTCCACTTCCAGTAGGGGGCAGCTGGGGAGCCACATCCTGAACTGGAGAGGTGGGGTTCATCAGCAGAAAGTTGATTGGCCCCTGGAGTGCCCCCTCCCCTGTCATTCATGTTAAAGCTAGCCCCCAGCTGATAGAGGGGAAGCTACAATAAAGCAGGAGCAGACATATCCATGTACCAACATGTCAGCCGGCTGGAACGTGACTTACTGCCCGACATCACTGCAAAACCTTCTACTCAACCCCCAAACACCTTTTTTTTCGGGGCGTAAGGCTCTTCTTCCCAGAAGTTTAATCCATCGACAGAAACCCCAAACCCTAGCCTGTCCACGTCTGTCACACGTCTCCTTAAAGTTGCATTTTTTCCCTCTGTACAGTTTCCCTTCAAAAATGTTAATCACGTCTTGATTTCACGTGGAAAGCAGCTTATCCCTTGATTGCGACGGATGCGCCCATCGTCAGGCGCGTCGCTCGGCTGAAAGCGGGACCTTCCGCCTTCGAGCGCCGCACACACGACTAATTCTCGCCTTGACAGGGCCTACGGAGGAAGCCGAACATGAAAGCAGCCTTTTAGCAAGACCAAGGTGACACCATCTGCAGCCACCCTAAATCCATATTTCCCAGCCTAATCCATCAAATTTAGCTTTGTTTTTTTACTTCCTTTTTCTGTAATCGGTGTAGGTTTATGTCTATGAATTTGGAAAAAATAATTTTAAAAAAAGGGCTGTCGAGTTCTAAGAGCTCGGAGGTTTTGTGTCAGTCTGTTTTTATTTTTTTTGGAAAATTAAAAGAGGAGAGGCTCCATGAAAGAGCCTGGATTTGTTTGGATATTTTCACTCCTGCCCCTCCTCCCCCGCCCCCCACTCCATTCCGCATAGTTAATATTTGACAAACAGCTGAAATGGGCCTGTCGCCGGGCCGCCAGCATTAGCCTGACGCGCGTTGTTTACATCACTTTGGGGGGCATTACAGTGGCGGCTATTTGGGGAGACTTCGGAAAACGAAAGCGGCCTGAGAGCTTTTAGCGCGGAGACGGACGCTAAGTGAACCTGGCGTTTCGCGGAGGTGCTTAGCCTCGCAAAGTGCGCTGGATTAGCCGAATGGCGCAGTCATGGCATCCATTTAGATGCCCGTGGTCTGATTGTGTTCCATAAAATATCTGAATTGCAGACTCCCGCTATTTAGTAAGTAGAGTGTAAAAAGGCACTCGCTCACTCGCTGGGCTCCCCAAAGGGGGCGGGGCCCAACACATCAGTTAGCTTTTCATTAGCAGAACACTCTGCCTCGCATCGCGGCCCCAAAACACTGCAAAAATGAAATTTCGTGTGGGATGTTCATAATGGAAGCTTGAACCTGCCAAGATTCCGGTTTGAGAAAAGTAGCTCAAAAAAACAAACATTTTATTCCCAGTAAATCAATATCCTGACCGCAACTCCAAATGCTGACGTTATGATTTGCCTTTTGATATTGTATTCCGTCGCAACTCATTCGTGTTTAGTTACATTAATATTTGATTTGAAAATGTAATACCATTGTCTTCCAGAAAGTAGAATTAATTAGTATAATTGTGCTGACTGAAGCTTTTCATTTGTAGTTAGAGGAACGTGGGCTCTGTGGAGGGAGACTTCCGGGGGTTGTGGCGAGCTCTTGGCCCATGACCACCAGAAAGACGGGCTGAACATCGGAGTGATGGCAAACGATGGAGAAGCTCTTTCTGCCAGCAGTTTGCTCTTCACATTCTTCAGCTATTTTTACTTATGGAATTGTTTGGAAGATTCTAAGCACATTAGTCTGGGGGACAGTATGTGGCTCGGTGGGCTGTACCTGAGATTGGGAGATCACTGGTTTGAATCCCATCCTCTGCAAAATAGTCACATATCTATTGGGTTCGAATCCCATCTTCACCAGAATATTTACAAATCTTCTGCGTTCGAATCCCACTCTTAGCAGAATAGTCACATGTTTGTTGGGTTCGAATTCCACTCTTAGCAGAATAGTCATATGTTTTTTGGGTTCGAATTCCACTCTTAACAGAATAGTCATATGTCTGTTGGACCCTTGAGCACAGCCCTTCACCCCTTGAGCTGTGCTAGGGCTGGTGGATTAATGGTCTAGCCCCAAGGTTGACACTCAACTGTACATGTGCGTATGCCTCAAAGGAGAGTAGATGTGTTATGCAGGGAGAAAATAACTTTGTATTTGTGCAAATGGAAAGTAAAGTACCATAATTTCAGTGGTGAAGGAGACATAGGGGGGTGGTGATGGGTATGATGAGGTGGACGGGTGTCCTATGTGAACGGACACAAGATCGCCACGTGACTTGCTTGTGTTACGGTCAGGAGTCAGATGAAGACCACAGCTAGCCTTGGGGGGTGAGGTCAAATCCCAGGTTTCATTTACACCAATGGAGCAGCATGGCACAGCCCAACTCCGCTCACTGCTGTCGTTACAGGATTGGACTTGGGTTCCTGCCAACACG